TGGACCCGGGGGGGCTGCCCGGGTAAACCGGGCAGGACAAAAAAACACCCAGAATTGTTTTTTTTTTTTTTTTTAAACCAGGGTCGTTCTGCGCTCGGCGAGAGGACCCCGAATCTGCAATAAAATTTTGGTTTTGGGGGGGGAAGGGGGGGGTTGGTCTGGGTGGGGGGTGCTGGCGTTGTAGGGCTGTGATGGGGCCCAGATGCGCTTTTTTTTTTTGTTTTTTTTTTGTTTGGTAAGGTGTGTGTGTGTATACAAGGGAGAGAGAGAGAGAGAGAGAGAGAGAGACATAACAGCTCCCCTTAACACGGCTCAGACGGCCCATGCAGGCTATCTGAAGGGTCCTCGCAGACATGTAGCGTAGACCCCCCTACCAAAATCGAGGCAGGCAGTGAATATGAAATAGAGCACGAGCTGGCCGAATATATAGTCAAGATTCGACTTCAGGTCTGTGTTTCAGCAGTTATGGGTTGCTCACGTAGCTAGGGCCTGCACGTGACTCTTAGGGCTTGGCTGCACTACTCACGAAATGTGCAAAATTAGAATGAATCTTCTGCAGAACGTGGAATTATACGCCACCATATGTTTGTCTTTTGTGCACTTGGCGAGTAAAGGCCCTTAGGGCCACTGCACGTATTCCTAAGATAAGAAAACGAGAAAAGAAAAGAAAAGCGAAGAAACAGAGAAATGGTGACCCATAACCGACATGCAGGGACCTGAATTCGAATCCAGACTATATATTCTCTGTCCACCCTCACGGAGTACAAGTTTGAAGTGTGTCTCTGCATGACGTCGGGTCCTCTAGCTAATGTGCTCTAGGGATCCTTTCGAAAAGAGGCTGGACACAACGAGGACATTTTTGTTTTTCTATTTTTTAATGCGCCGCATCACTTGTGTGTGCGTGCATTTGCGCGCGGCACCCCGCGCATGAGCTCGCGGCACCCCGCGCATGAGCTGCAAGTATGATTCGAACCTCTCTCTCTCTCTCTCTCTCACACACACACACACACACACACACACACACACACAAAGGGGGCCCGAAATCCCCTGGCAGGTGAGTGCGCTGGGGGGGCCCGGCCCCCAACCGGGTGCCCTGCCCAGCCAGGCCGCCCGGGAAGATGTACAATAACATTTTTTTTTTGTTTTATTTTAACTTTGTGTATTTAAAAAAAAAATAAAAACCATAAAAAACAAATAAAAAGAAGGAAAAAAAGACGCACACGCACACAGACACACAGTCGGACACAACACACAAACACATAAACACAGACACACAACACACACAAATGCACACACACACACACACAACACACACAAACACACACACACACACACACACACACACACACACACACAATTCACACAAACACACANACACACACACACACAACACACACAAACACACACACACACACACACACACACACACACACACACAATTCACACAAACACACAAAAAACACACAACTGGGGGGGGGGCGGTGGGGGTTGGGGGATGGGGGATGTGGGGGCATGGGGGTTGGGGATGTGGGGGCAGATTTCTCAGGGTTTGGCTGCAGTATTCACCAAATGTGCATGACGGGGTCTACGCATGCATGGCTTAGCTCTAGGGTAGGGTAGGGATATAATTTGCTCTGGCCAGTCTGAGTTCCGCCTAGCCTTGGGTAAGCTAGGGGAAGGACGGTAGGATGTGTTCGCGGGCGCTGGCCTGCCTTGCTTAGGTCATACTGCTGGGTAGAGTCTCTGAATTGGGCCTGTAGAAGGTTGCATGAGCCTGGCGTCCGAAGTTCCCCTACGGCAAGTTTTGTTCGCTTCCGCTTCCATTACTGCTGTCTGGTCCAAGTTGCCCTCAATACTGGTAGGGTGATGGTCCTGAGTGCTGGTCACACTGAGGTAGGATAGTAGGGACAGGGGGTGCGCTGGGAGTATTAACGTGGGGATAGTAGGGACAGGGGGTAGGTGGCCTGTCTTGTCAGGACAACCATCGGCTGATGCTACCAGCAATCACTGCGGGTCTGGTCCTTGGCCTCTACAATACCCGTGGGCTTAAAAAAAAAAAAAAAAAAAAAGATAAAAAAAAAGAGGATATTCTGCTAGACGTGGAATGATACGCTGCCATATGTTGTGTCTTTTGTGCATGTGGTGAGTAGAGGTGCTTAGGGCCACTGCAAATGTGCAGACTTAAAATGAATCTTCTGCTAGAAAGTGGAAGTCTACGCTGCCATATGTTTTGTTTTTTGTGCAGGTGGTGAGTAGAGGCCCTTAGGGCCACTGCATGTATTCCTAACAAAAGAAAAACGAGAGAAAACAAAAGAAAAATGAGAAAAGAAAAGAAAAACGAGAAAACAGAGAGTTAGTGACCCGTAACTGTGACCTGAAATTGAATCCAGACTATATATTCTCGCCCGAGACAGGCAGTCTACAAGTCTAATGTCCATCTCTGCTCCACGAGGGGGCCTTGCTAATCCGTAGGGGCCGTTCAGAAATGAGACTGGATGAATAGATTGGAGCATTTGTCAAAAAAAAAAAAAAAAAAAGGACATGCACCCACATGCACACGTGCTCACAGTGTTGGGGTGTGGGGTGGCCCCTCCTTTTTTCCCTCTTGCAGTTTGATAATCGGGAGGGAGGGGAATGTTTGGCCACCCCACCCTGCTAGTAGGTGTCAATTTTTTCTTTCCCCCCCCTGTTTTTAGTGTTTGGGCGCGTAGGGCCACGTGTTCGAGGCCCAACGCGCCCATCCTGGTTTTTCGAATTCAACGGGAGACCCCCGTTTTTCCATTAAACGGGATTCAGAGGGGCCCCTGGGGCGATTCAACGGGGTTCAATGGAATTTAACAGCCCCCGTTGCCTGTTGTTCGGACACACAGGTAAAAATGACGGAGTTGCTTTTTGTTCCCGCACGGATAGAGAGAGAGAGAGAGAGAGAGAACTGAAAACAGGGAATGCATTCATTCCTGTTTCCCATTTTGGAAACACATGCACTGAAAACAGGGAATGCATTCATTCCTGTTTTCCATTTTGGAAACACATGGACTTGCATGTGTGTGTGTGTGTGTGTGTGAGAGAGAGAGAGAGAGAGAGAGAGAACTGAAGAAAGGGAATGCATTCATTCCTGTTTTCCACTTCGGAAACACGTGGACGTGCATGTGTGTGTGTGTGTGTGTGTGTGTGTGTGTGTGAGAGAGAGAGAGAGAGAGAGAGAGAGAGACGGCGTCCTGCGCAGAGGGCCGTGGCAAACTTGCTCCCTCTCTCTGTCTCTGTGTCTCTCTGTCTCTTGGAGTTTCCCAATTGCGAAACGGGAATAAGGGGCTCGTTAGACACTCCTCGGTCGCGTAAATTCCCCGAGGAAATATTCGTTCGACCTATCCTCGGGGAAAGAAAACGAAAAAAAAAGTGAAAAGATTTTCTCGCGCTGTCCTTGGGGAATCCTCGGGCCAGAACCATTTTGTGGTTTCCCCCAAGGTACCTCCTAAGGTCCCTTGGAGGTGAAGGATCCGCGATAAACGAAAGGACGAGGGCACCCTTTGTCGGCAAGAAATTTTGGTCGGCTGGTCCATTGGAGTTCCTAACGGGCGGCGCACAGGCATAATCGTCTTCAACGTTTGGCCTCCGGGAACTGTACCCCAACGGCAATCGTTGGTGGCCTGCCGACTCCCGCGCACGTCGTCCACAACCGTTCTCCCTTGCAGTGCGTGGCGCCAAACCGAAAGCAGCCCAACGAACGAAAAATTCGAATATTTGAGGCTGACGGACTTTCTATTCCCAGCTATATGACGCCAGTCGAACTGTACAGTCTGCCGTTTGCTGCCCTCTTCTCGTCGTTGTTTCCTGTCGTCGTGTCGTCGTCGTTTGCTACAGTCGTACCGGCGTCATGTGGTTATTGCCCTTCCCCACGTGTCGTTAATGGCCGACGTCTTTCGGAGACTACCGCTGTTGTTCCTGGTGTCGGTCACACTTGTCCTTGTCGTTGTCTTCCACGTGTGCATTCTCGGTAGGCTGCGTGGACGCACGCTCAAGAGGCGTTCCTCGATGAAGGGCGTCATCATAGAAGGGCAGCAGGCGAAGAACAGGACTCCAGTGGACCAAGTCGCAAGCCACGGGGTGCGCAGTCCCGACATGCTCTGCAGTGCCACGGTACGATCCGTCTGGATACGCACACTTGCCACCACACGAACAACCCCTGCCAGTCATGTCAGATGAGGAGGAGGAGGAAGCACGGTCACGTACCGTGGCATTGGGAAGCGGCTGCGGCGATCAACTACCAAAAAAATAGCAACCCGTGATACTCGTCAAGGTTGTGGCGTCCCATGATGTGGACACGTCATGAATGTCCGGTGCGAAGAGGCAACACACCACCCACATGCTGATGTGGAAAACGACACGCGCGACTATGTGTCACGACGAACACCTCTCTCTCTCTCTATTGTCCAGCATCGTCAGAGGCCACCCATCCTCTCATAGAATTAGCGCATCTCCCCCCTTCGAGCTCTCCATGCATACCGGTCTCAAGGTACGTTGGATTCCAAGATCCACATGACGGCGCACTCCGTTCACATCCACCTCCCACAACAGATTGTCATCAAACAGGATGGCGGTGTCGATGAGCAGGTTGTGGAGAATGCACACAGCCACAACCTGCTGCGGCAACGTCTCTATGTTCGTCTTGTGCGACCGTAGGAGCAGCCTTCACATCCCCGTCAGTCTGCCGAAAGCCCTCTCAACTGCCCCCCTCGCGGTCTTCTGCTTATTGCCGCTCGCGGTCTTCTGCTTATTGTCGAACCACGTCTCTGACGGGTGATGAGTAGTGCTGACGTAGGGAACGATTATCCATTCCGGCGGTGGGTAACCATTGTCGCCCGGCAGGTAGCCGTTCGTTTGGATGCCGAATGGCAGCATCACAGGTGGTCCCGTGAAAAGTTCGTTAGCCTCTGCACGCGCCCATAGACTAGATAGGTGAATGACCCTGACGTCGTGGCAGCTCCCAAGATAGCCGACGAAGACGTCCAGCACACACGCAAGTCCAGATCAACGACGACTTGCGCGATGATCGAGAAACGTCGTTTCCGATCTTAGTAGTCCTCGCCAGGGGCGTTCGCCAGCTTGTCGATGTACGTATGAGTGCAGTCGATGCAGCCATAACAGTTGGGGAGCCTCTTGCCAGCGAAAGCACGGAGGACGACCGACTTGCGCACCCCCGCCGGCCATGATATCTTGTCACGGTAGACCGACATCAACGCCGTAGTGACGTTTCTCACCGCCACCAAACCTGACGCTCTGCCGATGCCGAAGATACACCTGCTGCTCTCGTACGTTTCCCCCGACGCCCACCTGTACAGCACATACACGACGATCTGATCTGGCTGCAGCGGCTCCGTGTAGAATGTCACACAGCGCTGCAACAATGGCGAGAAAGCTTCCGCAATCTCTCGGAAGACACGTGGCGACATGCGCAGCTTGTCCCGAAAGTAGTCCTCCGTCGCGTCGTCGCATTGCCGCAGATCCTCCCACGGCCCCCCCGTCCTCCTTTTCATCCACCATCTCGGCGTTGCTCCGGGAAGAGCTCCGCAACCTAAGGTGCAGCACACATGAACGACGATATCGCAGATGGCGGCGGTGTCCAACCCAGGGCCTTCCAGTGCAGTGCACTGCGTGACCTTCCTCCTCCTCGTGCGGAGCTGCGCTTTCATGTTCCCCGCCGTCCTCTCCATCTAACAACGAAAGAGGACTGCAGTAACAGCCGCTGCCACTGCCGTCCTCTCCGCCGTCGTCAGCTACCCACCGACGCCAAGGTCGCCGCCGTCCATAGCTCCCAAACGAGCTGCGAGGTCGTATTCTCCCCCGACGTCTTCCTTGCCTGGCCGCACGCAGTACTTGCCCTGATGACTGCCACGATGGTGTCTCCTCCCCGGATGGCTGGCGCGACGGCAACTTCTCCCCTGACGACGACCGATGGAATCTTCCCCCCCCCAAGCGACTGCCGTGATGGTGTCTTCTCCACCGACATCTTCCTTGCCTGGCCGCACCCACGCCGACCCCCCCAACACGTTGTGGAAGGAGTCTCCTTTTCGACGTCCTCCACCAGCCGCCACAGCACCGCGACAAACCGCCCTCACCCCAGCGACGTCATTCGAAATTTGAATTTCGAACAGGGACGACGTGCCTAGTTTTTTTTTTTTTTTTGTGTCGCTGCAAAGATTCGGATTTTTGCCGCCAATCGAAGCCGGACCACGGCCGTACCAGCGGACAACCGCCCATGGACCACGGACCCCACCCCACCCAGTGGTCACTGATAAGATTATTAACTGGAGGGCGACTGGCCGCGGGACCTCTATAGGAATCCTCCTCGGACATCCATTCCTAGGATAAGTGGAACGATGGCGGGAAAAATCTCGGAAGCCCCGAAGGAAAACTCCTCGGGCCTCGAGGATGCCCTGAGGAGTGTCTAACGAGCCCCTGAATCATCCTGCTTTTGTTGGAAGATGCGTTCGCTTTTTTCATCTCTCTCTCTCTCTCTCTCTCTCTCTCTCTCTCTCTCTCTCTCTCTCTCTCTCTCTCTCTCACATGTCTCTTTGTTTTTTACCGTTGTTTTTCTTTTTGTTTCTTATCTCTTTTTATTTCTTTTTTTGTTCTCTCGCAATTGTGTTGTGCCAAGAAAGGTGGAGCCCGTACTTCAAGTACCGGCCGGGCCTTCTCTTGGCTGTCTCCTTAGGTGTTGGTGCATTAACAGGGAAGGCCCACGGCCCATGTATGGGCCAAGTACTGGTGTTTTAAGAGCAAAACTGGGAGAAGAAATATGCATTGCCAGTGTGTATGGCCTGACGACACTGCCCGACAGTGTGCTGTTTTTGCATAGTTTTAATGAGCTCTCTACCCACAGACGTGCCTTGGATACTTGTGGGGAACTTCGCTATCACACCTGAGTCACACACGGATAGAAGGTGATCACTTGGGGCCATCCAGCACGGCCTCCAAGCAGAGGTATGCCTGGACGTCAGATAGTACATGGCAGAAAAGCAACTGATTGATGCCTATAGGTTGCTGCACCCATCCAAGAGAGCCTTCTCCTCTCCAAAATTGACTGTTTTTTGTCCTTGAGGAGCTAGTGGGGCCACTAGTGATTGCAGATGTGCACCCTTGAAACAGGAGGCTTAAAAAAGGAAGGTTCCTTCAAAAAGCTCATCAGCCAAGTGGTCACAACCAGTGAATCCACCATGGCGGCGACCGCGAACCTTGCGGCCGCTGCAGCAGCCAGTTGGGGAGGGGTCCCGGGGGGGGTGCGGGGTGGCTGCTTGGGGTTGCACAACCCTGACCCTACCTCCTGGCACAAAAAACAAAAAAAAACTGTTGGGGTGTGTGTGTTACTGGTGAAAATGAATTTTCGAAAAAAGAAAAGAAATCTTGATTAAATGATTGATAGATCGGAATGGGTAGAATGATTGATAGATCGGAATGGGTAGATTGATTGATTGACTGGTGGAGTGCTGTGCCCCCTTACCCCCCACCCCCCACACATGCACTTTTCTTTTCCACTTTTTTTTTTTGTTGATTTGATTGATTGATTAGTGGGAGAGGGGTCTCAACCCCTGCCCCCCTGCCCCGGCCCCTCTTACACACACACACTCATGCGCTTTTATTTTCACTCTGTTTCCAGGTTTACCTGATCGGACGTCCTGGATGCCCCTGGCCGTCCAGGGTTGTCTGTTCGGACACCTGGTCAGACATCCTCCCTGGGCAGTTTGTCCCAGCCTGAATATGCTAAAAAAAAAAAAAAAAAAAAAAAAAAGAACCAAAAACAAATCCGGAAAAAAAACAATGTTATGAAGAAAAATAAACTGAACAACTTTTGCCTTGGGATGACATCGAGATTCGTTATCAATTGTAAAAACAATAACAACAATAAAGACCCGCATTTGTTTTTCTTGATTTCGTGCTTTTAACTGCTGAAAATGGAGTTGTCCTGGCCCGGACGTCCAGGAATCCCCTGACTGTCAGGCCAGGACATCCAGCCATCGAACAACTGGTAACATAGCTTGTTTATTTTTTTTCAATTGATTGATTGATTCGTGAAAGCAGGGTCACCCCCCCAGCACACACACACACACACACACGCTAAAGTCGACCACTTTTCTCAGGGGTGTCACTAACTCTGGGGGATGTGATGAGTCCTTATCCATCAGTCAAATGAATCCTGGGCAGACTGTCGGGGTTCAACCTACTGAGGAGTCAGGGAAAGTCTGACTTCACAGTCCGACACAGTCATTCTTTTGTTGAGTGTATGGCGAATATGACAACACACACACACACACATTCACTCTTGCGCGCTTTTTTATTTTTGCTTTTTATTTTCAATTTCTTTCACTTTTTTGAATGATTGGTTGGTGGGGGAGGGGTCGGAACCCAACCCCGCACATTTGCACACACACACGCACACTCACACACACACACCTGGGCAGACTGTCGGGGTTCAACCTCCTGATGAGTCGGTGAAAGTCCGATGAAAGTCTGGTATAGTCATGCTTTCTTTGAGTGTATAGAATATGACAACACAAATAACAAAAAAAAAGAACAAAATCTTTTTTTTTCTTTTTTTTCTTTTTTTTTTCTCAGTTTTTTTTTTTTTTTTAATTATTTTAATACAAAAAGTATGTGGTGTGCGTAAAATAAAATATGGGGTTGTAAGGTTCGAGAAACTCTACAAACATATATATATATATATCTGTTTGTGACGATCTGTCGGTGAAACTCCGACGAAACAGTTTGTCACAGCCCCTCATTTGTTGTCCTCTTCTCCCTCTCTGCCTACGGTTTACCGGGCAGTTCTATTTGACGATATATATATATATAGTCAAACAGAGCTGCCCGGTAAACAATAGGCAGAGAGGGAGAAGCGGACAACAAACGAGGGGTTGTGGCAAACTGTTTCGTCGGAGTTTCACCGACTCATCAAGAGCATGAACCCTCATATATATATATATATATATCCGTAGCACCATGTTCGCGTTCGGAGGCGAACGCGAACATGTTTTTGCCCGAACGAGAACAAGCGCCCAAAACCCTCCGAACGCGAACATAAAAAATATTAAAAAAAATAATAATAAAAAACTATCAGAAAAATCTGAAAAAATCGTACATTATGTAAAATAACAATACAAACAACTTTTGCCGTGGAATCATGTTCAAGTTCGTAGCCAATCATGAGTTAAAAATCAAAAACCGAAAAAACAATATGTAATTTATTTTATTTTTTTACGAAAAAAATATATCTTCGCCCGAACATGTTCGCGAGTTGTTTACGCAAACGTGCGAACACGTTCGCTGTGGCACGCATATACATATATATACAGGGTTGCGAGCGTTCGGGACCGGCTGAATACCCGAACCCGAAGGCCCGAACGTTTGGGAACCCCTCTCGATGTGTTCGG